TTTGGTAGGCCGAGGCAGGTGCATCACGAGGTCAAGAAATCGAGACCATCCTGGTCAACATGGTGAAACCCCGTCTCTACTAAAAATACAAAACATTAGCTGGGCATAGTGGCACGGGCCTGTAATCCCAGCTGCTCAGGAGGTTGAGGCAGGACAATTGCCTGAACCCAGGAGGCGGAGGTTGCGGTGAGCTGAGATCGCGCCACTGCACTCCAGCCTGGGTAATGAGCGTGAAACTCCGTCTCAAAAAAAAGGAAAAAATAGTTCCTATTCATTGAATTTTTTTTTTTTTTTTTTTTTTTAAGGAGATTTTTTTGTCTCTGTCCTTCACTTCCACTCTGAATCTGTTTACTTCTTGTCTCCTGCTAGAAGGCTTGTTTGCTCTTGGTCTTCTCATTCTTTTAGTTATGATGTTAGGGTGTCCATTTGGGCTCTTTCTTGGTTTTTGATGTGGATGTTTAGTGCTATAAATTTCCCCCTTAACACCACTTTAGCTGTGTTCTAGAGATTCTGGTACAATGAATGTCTCTTCATTCTCATTGGTTTCAAATAATTTTTTTATTTCCGATTTTTTTTTTAGATGGAGTTTTGCTCTTGTCGCCCAGGCGGGAGTGCAGTGGCATGATCTCGGCTCACTGTAACCTCCACCTCCCAGTTTCAAGTGATTCTCCCGCCTTAAACTCCTGAGTAGCTGGAATTATAGGTGCCCGCAACCACATCCAGCTAAGTTTTTTGTATTTTTAGTAGAGATGGTGTATCGCCCTGTTGGCCAGGCTGGTCTCAAACTCCTGACCTCAGGTGATCTGCCCGCCTTAGTCTCCCAAAGTGTTGGATGGAGTGAGCCACCATGCCCAGCCAAAGCATAAAGCACCCAGTATTCCCAGGTGGTCTCACATCTAAGCCTCAGCAAAGCCCAACCCTGCTTAGATAAAGATCAGGTGTGATCAGAAGGGTGTAGGCATAGACGCCTGCTGCTGATTTTATTATTTAGCCAGAAGTCATTCAGGAGCCGATGTTCAATTTCTGTGTAATTGTGTGGATTTGAGTGAGTTTCTTACTTTTGAGGTGTTTTTTGTTTTGCTTTTTTTGGAACAGAGTCTTGTTCCATCACCCAGGCTGGAGTGCAGTGGCATGGTCTTGGCCCACTGCTACTTCTGCCTCCTGGCTTCAAGTGATTATTGTGCCTCAGTCTCCTAGGCAGCTGTGACTACAGGCATGTGTCACCATGCTCAGCTAACTTTTTGTATTTTTAGTAGAGATGGGATTTCACCATGTTGGCCAGCCTGATCCCAACCTCCTGACCTCAAGTGATCCACCCACCTCAGCCTCTTAAAGTGGTGGGATTACAGGTATGAGCCATCATGCCTGGTGAGTTTCTTACTCTTGTGTTTTAATTTGATTTTCCTGCAGTCTGAGAGACTGTTATGATTTCAGTTCTTTTGCATTTGCTGAGAAGTGTTTTACTTCCAATTATGTGATCAATATGTATATTTAACTGCCATGTACACCTTAGAAGAATGTGTATTGTGGTGTTTGTGGCTAGAGAGTTCTGTAGATATTTATCAGATCCATTTGACTCACAGCTGAGTTCAAGTCTTGAATACTCTTGTTAGTTTTCTGTCTCACGGATCTGTCTAATATTAACAGTGGGGTGTTAAAAGTCTATCACTATGATTATGTGGGAGTCTAAGTCTCTTTGTAGGTCTCGAAGCATGTGTTTTATGAATCTGGGTGCTGCTCGAATTGATCTCTTTACTATTATGTAATGCATTTCTTTTTTCTTTTTTGATGTTGGTTGGTTTAAAGTTTGTCTTGTCAGAAATTATGATTGCAACCCCTGCTTTTTAATGCTTTTATTTACTTTGTAAATTTTCCTCCATTCCTTTACTTTGAGCCTGTTTGTCTTTTCATGTCAAATGGGTCTCTGGAATACAGCATACAGATGGGTCGTAAGTGTATCCAGCTTGCCCTTCTGTGTGTTTCAGTTGAGGCATTCAGTCTATTCCATTTAATGCTAATATTGTTATGTGTGGTTTTGATTCTGGCCAAATGGTGCTAGCTGCTTATCTTGAAGAGTTGTTGATGTAGTTGTTTTACAGTGTCATTGATTTTGTACTTCAGTGTGTTTTTGCAATGGCTGGTAATGTTTTTTCTTCCCATATTTAGTGCTTCTTTCTAGAGCTCTAGCAAGGCAGGCCTGGTGGTAATGTATTCCTTCAGCATTTGCTTATCTGAAAATAATTTTATTTTTCTTCACTTACGAAGACTTAGTATTGTTTTTTTTTTTTTTTTTGAGACGGAGTTTCACTCAAGTTACCCAGGCTGGAGTGCAATGGCACGATCTCGGCTCACCGCAACCTCCGCCTCCTGGGTTCAGGCAATTCTCCTGCCTCAGCCTCCTGAGTAGCTGGGATTACGACTTAGTATTGTTATTTTGTTTTATTTGCTTCTTGTATCTTTGTTCTTCATTCTCTTTTTCTGTCTTTGTATCTTTTTTATACTTGATATTCTTTTACTTCTTTTTTATTTTGTGTTGTGTATCTATGCAGACACATTCTTGGTGATACCTTGGGGATTACATAAAGCCTCTAAAAGATACAAAAATCTATTTTAATCTGGTGAAAATGAACTTCAGTTGCATTCAGAATTTTTTTTCTCATTATATCTGCCCTCAAATTTGTCATTGATGTTGCTAATTATATATATCATGTTGTATATTCATTAATAAATGTTTATAATGATTTATATGCTTTTACCTTTCAAATTTTAGAGAATAACTAAAAATGTTTTTGCACCATTATAATGCTAAGAAATTCCATTTTTGTGTATGTACATTTTTTTCCCAGAAAATAAGGCATTTTTTACAATTATGTGTTATTTTGTTGAATCATGTTATTTTCAGTAAAAAGCAACTGCTTTCAGCTCCTTTTATATTTAGGGCATATGAATTGCAATATAATTTTTCAGAATTTGGTTATGTTTTAAGATCTTTTTAAAAAATTATTTGGCAGGATATGCTGATGATATTATTCTCACTTGATAGCTATTTTTAGCAAGATGTTGACTATATCACACAGTTTCTTTGTGGCCTGCACGGTTTTTGATGACAGTTCACCACCTGTCTCATAAGACTATATTGTAAATGACACATCGTTTTTTTTTTTTTTTTGAGACGGAGTTTCGCTCTTGTTACCCAGGCTGGAATGCAATGGCGCGATCTC